CGTCCAAAGCAACATTTACTTTTCAGGGCACAGTGTGTGTTTTTTAAATCCTCCTTTGATGTTTCTTGGTCTACTTTGTTTTTAAAGGCTCACCAGAAATCAAAAAGGATTAGTAGGTCATGATCCTCCAAGCTACCTGGTATAGATCAGCCCAGGAAAGGACAGAAATGGAGTTTAGCTAGCAAAGAAAAAATGCTTGCCTGAAGCAGTTTGAAGGACTTTCTGAGGCACGAATTAATTAAAACTGCTTTGGTATTTTGTTTTCTATTTATAATCATTATCATTTAAAGAAGACTTTAAATAAGAAAAGTAGAAAGCAGAATATAGGATATTTAACAAATCATAACAACCAAACATTAATGTTAATGTGTATTAAATATCTTCAACTATGCCAGTGATATTTCATACAACAAGCAGTTTTTTCCACTCATCCTTAAAAGAAAAACTTTCCTGCACCAAGATATACTTACCACTTTTCTTTTTTAAATGAAGACTTGAATTAATATTTTTTAAAAGCATTGATTACTAGTATGACATTACAGAGTAGAAGTAGAGGAAGTCTTGAAAGTGATATTAAAAAAATATCTGGATTCTTACTTCCTCCAGAATTCAGTGCTCTAAATGTGGTATCTGAGCAAACACCAGCTCTTGACCTCAAATCTATATTCTTCGCTGAGGTTCGTCCACTAGGATAAGGACCACTGTGTAGCAGTTAAATACAAAACAAACCTGAAATTTGTACCTTCTGAGGTTTGGTTCTGACCAGCCTTTGAAACAAGATTGCTTTCAGCCAGTCGGTTATTTCAGCACTTGACATCACCCCCACATAAAACAAGGCAAAAGGCCAATTAGCTAACTGGAAGTTTTCCAGTTCAAAATGGTGCCAAAATGAATGAAGATGAAGTGGAGTAGAAATAAAAAAAAAAGTTTAAATTGGCTGAACAGTCAGCTCTCTATGGGAAGCTGAAAATAGAAATCAGTTCATGGAACTCAGGAGCTTCACTATCTTCTATTTGGGGAAGATCAAACTTCGGCATTTGCAAGTTAAACAGGGATCCCCAAGGCTTCTAGAGAGTACTTTATAAAAAGAGGTTTTATACAGGACCTGTGTATTTTGCAAATAAAACTGCAGCACATTAAATTCTAATCACATTCTATTCATAGCATCTGAAATCAGAGTATAAATTTGCTTCCTACAGATAATTATCTGGACTGGAGTTTTAATCTTACACATATGCCATTACCCCTATGCAAACATGGATACCTTTTGGCTTTTTCCTTTCAGCAACATTCAGCTATTTTGACATTTTAAGTGGTTACGAGTTGGTTTTAAGTAAAGACAGCCTAAAGAAATCAGATTATATGTTAAGCAGTAGTATTAGAACTGAGAAAGAAAAAATACAGCATTATAGAATAACATCTTTGCTTGGGAAATAATGTGCAAATTCCAGAAAGAAAAGTAGTTAATCATGCCAGCTTTGTAAATATAACTTCTATAAAAGTCAATTCTTCTTTAAATACATCTATAAGGCCCCTCATACAAACTGTTAAGCTACATCAAAAATGCGTGTAAGTATTCTAAATAGGAAAAATTCCCCTGCAGAAAATTTCCCATTATTATAAACTTCTTGGCTATGTTACAGAACAGCACTTCAATCTTCTGTCAAAACATTAGCAGCACAGTACAGTCCAAGTTAGATATACCAATGTTTACCTACTAAACAGTACTCTCTACTACGACTTTGTAAAAGCAACCATATTCCTGATATAAAATAAATGTAAAAAGGAAAAATACAACTGCAATTTATCTAAATTGCCATTCTCAAAAAAAAAGCAGAATAACCAACTTCAAATATTACTGATATTTTTCTTTACAAAATTATTATAAAATTTTGGATATCAGGCTATCAGGTGTACCTACTGACAAACAAATTAGCTTTGCATTTAAAAGAAGCTGCCTGATGCAAAAGTATTTTTCTTCTAGTGAAAGTCAAGCAGTGATTTAAAGAAATTGAGGTTTTCAGATGCCTAATGATGCAAATAGACAGAACTGACAATTATCAAGTTCCTCAAACGAGCACATTTCACATAATTTGATAGTGACCTTGTATGTGTCTAAACATTAAAAAAAAGTCCAGTTAAAAAGCAGCTTCACATGTTTTTATTACTTTTATGAATTGTCAAAATAACAATGTATTCAGAGAGATCGTGAGCTCATCACAGGTTCGGGCACTCACAGCATCTGGTTGCAAGGGAAAATAACTTTATGCTGTTGTTTGTGAAACAGATTCAATTTGACTCCATCAAACTTTAGAACCACAAAACACAAGCAGTTGCATGAGTCTAACAGTGTTTCAGATCCATGTTTTAAAAGCACTGATACTCTACCATGCAGCCAGACACAATGAACCTACTGGTATCCACCACATCACAGAGACTGACCTTAGCAAGGAGCTGAACTTAGCAACAACCTTTAACTGCAGAGCTGTTACTGAAATGATTAGTTACAACAGCTCTGAGCAGGCACATCACTTCACCAGTGTGCATCTGTGTAAGATCAGGGCCTGAACATGTTTCTTCCCTTCATCTGGCCTCAGCTTCAGGAAAAAAAACATGTTTCACTTGTCCCAGCCCACTCCCCATGTCAATGGACATTATGCACATGTCACCTCACTTTTGGAGAGCATTGCATTTTTTACTTCATAACTGTTTGCTGAATTGCCTTTCACCAGTTCTCACCTTGGAAAAAACTTTTTAAGTGCATTAATATAGCACAATTCAACTCTACTATACGTGAATCACATGAATCAGCAGTGGTGGGATATTACAGCAGACAACCGGACCCAGAGTCCTCAAATAGCCCTTCTCTGAGCAGATTTGTGTCTATCCCTCCAGTCACGAGAGCCCTTGCCTTCCCTACAGGACACTGTCTATTCCCTCTCTCCATACTGCTTAATCCTCCAGAATCTTCTCTAACCTTTCTGCTTTGCCTGGAGGAACTTGTGCTGTAGCACCAGCAACAGCAGCATTGACTCTTCAACCATAGCTGCTGCAGCACTTCAAAGGCAGCTACCACAGCCAAGGATTTAGACTGCAGCTGGAATTCGAAGGCTCAAGGTGGGGACCCCAGGGCTGAGCAAAAAGAGCAAAGCTCATTTGTAAGGATTAAAAGGTGGACAGGTAATGGATCTCTATGGGGCAGGAAGGAGAGGGAAAAGCAGAGAGAGTGGAAGTCAGTATACAATACAAAAAGCTGAGGAGGTTAAGAGGGGCAGTAAAAGGAGGGGCTGAGGGCACAGAAGAGAGGAGATTCCTGGTTAGCATAAATAATATACATGTATGTTAGGGAGGAAGAATGAGGGCAGCCTGGAAATATAAACAAAAATACCTTTAACATAGCAGTTAGTGAAGAGATCAAGAGGAATAAAATACAAAAGGATGTACAAGTCAAAGACAGCTAGAAAAATAGGCACTGAGAATAAAAAACTGTGATGACACTGAGACATAAAATCCATCTATAAAACACCTTGTATTGGGACATGTATAACATTTTTCATACTGCAGATACACAAAATGTAAAAACAGAATTTTTTTATTATTCAAGCTGATAATGGACTCTGCATATGAAGTTACAAAAAAAAACCATTTTCTTTTGAAAAGTAAAATTACAGAAGTTTTTAAAAGAAAAAACCTAAACAACCCAAAAAGTTGTGTGTTTAAGACCATGCTACATATTACGTGGGAAGCAGGACCATGAAGGTGATACACACAGACTAGAGAAAGACCACAGTCACCTGACTGAGCTACGTTGTGCTCAGATTCTCAGAGCAGGCAGTTCTTGTCAATATTTGAACATACGAGCAGAGCTGAGGCCACGAACACACCAAGGAATTTAAGGATCTAAAAAAACTTTCCACCTGCCTTGGAGGCCATAAACTTGTGAACTGAATGACTATTAAGAAAAACTCTTTAAAGAGAACTTCTCATCTGGTGGTGGTGGAAGTGAGTTCTCCTTACAGTTGCAGTTAACTATACAGTAAAGTGATGCAGTGGGACACAAACCCCATGGGAAGGATCAAGAATTCAGACTGGAATAAATAATTTACTGCAAATCACACCTACCTGAGTGTAGCATAATTTCTCAATATCTCAGCTTCTTAAAATTTCCCACATCTGAATGCTAAACAATACACACTAAGTCATATCACAAAGTGTTAGTGTGTTAAGGTAATAAAGAGGATTTTTTGCCATCTGCAATCTTTTTTTAACATGGTTAAAATAGTTAAGCTATTTTGTTAAACTACTAATTTTTTAATTGTTCCAACTAATAAGCACTTGCTTGAACAGCTTAAAAGCAACATTCACTCATAATTTTCTCATATTTTCTCTCATTCATCATTTTCCCTCATTTCTTTCATTCATCATTTTCTCTCATTTTTCTCACTCATAAGAACATCATAATTTTCACTTGTGATATACAAGCCTCCTTCATAGTCTCATTAATTTCTGAATCTCCAAATGTTTCCTTGTAGATATTAGAAAGCACATTCTGTAGTTTAAAGAGGAAAATATTTATATTTTGGGAATTGTCATGGCTTAATTTTTTTCTCTCCTTAGCTTTCTGTTCAGATGTGGCAGCAGAAAACTGTGTGCACTGCTAGAAAAGCAAGAGGGGAGAAGTGTGAAGATCACAGAGCACACAGCTTTTTATTTGTCACTTATTCTAAATTCAAAAGAAAAGAGTACCAGGCCAAAAGTCCTCCTGTTAGTTATTTAAAGTGACTGATGCTAATTGATCTATCAACAGTTTCTAATGCATGTTGAATATATCACTCATCATTTACAGACAAAACTGTTGACTGAGATTCATCCATATTCGTAGACATATAAGCCTATCTATCAGTGCAAGAAGTAATGCTGACGTGGTAATAAAAATACCCAAAAACACTAGCATTTTTCAGAGCATCCATGGAGACAATTTGAGACTTCAGTGAAGTAAATATTTTTATAATAACAGCTTTATTTTAAGCACTGTTTCTCACTGGATACAACTTACATTTTTTGCTAAGTATATATATATATTAATGGAACATTTTCAAAATTATCTCTAGATAAAATATATATTATGTGTTTAAAATTATTACAACAACAGCTTTTTCCAAGTAACATTTTGCTGAGTGTTAGTTCAAATAACTGGATAAAAAAAAATTAAAATGCATTGGCAAAACACCCTTCCATGGTGATGTCTTTAAAAGCATTTTGAATGCAGGGCTTCCTCATCCATTTTTATTCTGGTATCAGTCAAATAGAGAGGAGGAAACATAAACACAGTTATACAGTTTCTTTTAAATATAATTTTAAAGAATATAGACTGAAATTTTTCAAGTGTGTGGTCTCATGTTTGAATTTGAGCCAGTCAAAAACTGCCTTTTGCTTCTTAATGGACAATGGTGCAATGTGTTTCTGAAACCTCTAATGGCAATGTTGTGCTGGTCCCTGTTAAAACAAAGTTCCTGGTATCCCAGAGCCTGTGTCAAGGCAGGAGGACTGCAAAGGTATCAGGCCAGAGAACAGCGTGGTCACTGAACTGCACACATTGAGCTTCTGGAAGGATTAATGGTTCTGGTCACAGGCTCCTGACTGTAGTTGACAATATCTGCTTTCACCACTCTCTGTCATAAAAGAAAACACAGTAACAATCAGAAAAAATAAACTGCATACTGGCAAAGCATTCAATGGGATTTTTATGAAATACAAAGGGGAAAATAACAAACAAACCAGTATTTTTCATTACTTTACAGGAAACCTTATAATTCTCATTATAATTCTAGGTTTATTCATGTTAGGCAAAAGTAAGTGCTTTGGTAAGTTATCACAACACTACAAAAGGAGTAGAACTTTCTTGCTAAAGCAGAGAATACAGTTTTACTTCCATGAAAAGTTTTCTGTGTGAGAGTAATAAAACAGAATTTATTTGCAATAGTTGTGCCATTCATTCTTTAATAATAACTGCCTAAATTGTAATTGGAAATTGTACCTAAGTCTTTTTGCCTTTACTCCAAGCATTTCATCAGCAAATATGGGCAGAATTCAAAGCAAATTTAAAATACAGCCATATTTTAAAAAAGCTTTGATAGGCATACTGGCTAAAGATTACATTAACATAAAAAGAAGCTCTGCATACTATATTTATTCTCTAATACAGATCTAACAGATCTTACACATTCTATACAAAGCATTTGATAAGACTGATGCACTCTCCTACATAAGGAGACAGAAATGTACAATTTTGCACCCATTTCCATCTGAGACAGCTATGCAATATTTTGAATGTACAGCACTGAATACAGTAACATGAAGAATTTCAAAGTTTCTAAAAACTATCTGATTATTAGAAACACTTTGTAACTAATTGTACACAAAGTTCCAAAATAATATGTTGAATATTACATGTACTTACACATATAAAACACAATCTTCCAAAAGAACTTACTTTAACAGTTGTTACTTCATGTAGAAGCAATGCAGCTTATAAAAAAGAAACAAACCAAGTTTTCCATCAATACCTGAACTACTGCATTGAGCAGACTTTGCTCTGGCAGTTGGAAGTGTGATGCTGGTTATCTTCTTCGGGATATTTCACTAGTTCTGCCCTGACAACATTCTGTTAACCATGTATCAACATGATGGATAGAGGGCAAGGAGAAGAATGTAAAAAGAAAAGAGAAGGAAAACAATGAAGAGATTAATCAGTAGTTGAAAAGAATGAATGGATAACATAAGATTATGCAGAAGCAAAATGAAAGTGCATTTTCAGGCCTTAGGCAGATATAACAGCAACACGCCTGGCTGGAAGCAGCACTCAGCACCAGGGCTGCTTCTCGAGCTTTTTCCAGAACATGCCCTCTCAAAGCACCAAAATGAAAGGCTCATACATGCAATCAGCAAAAGTGTATTAAGGCTAGAGAAGGGACAGAATAAAAAGGCAGGGAATGCAGTGGAAGAAAAGATGACAGTGGCCTATTCCTCCTGTAAGTCAAAGATACTTAAATACTACATTATCAGCTCATAGCAAGTGCATTAGCTGTACACATGCATCTTTTCCATCACATAACTATCACATTACACCTAAATATATAATCCAAAAGCAGTGACCAAATTAACAACCTCATATCAAAATGCTCTAAGTTTTGATTTTTCTTTGCTTCATTTAAAAATAAAAGGTTCTCATTATTCCCTTAAAGACAAACAAAACTGTTTTCTTATTATTAATACAGGTAATGGATACAGAGTTCTCATTATTAATACAGGGTCAATACAGGGTTCATGTAAAAGGAAGTAAAATTAATGGGACAATTTCATTCAACATTAACAGATGAAGCAGCAAAGGAGGTAAGTCTGCTATGAAAGACATCCTAAACCAGTTTAATATTTTTTCTTAAATACTTCAACTTTCCTACAATATATTTTCAAGGTTAAAATGAATTAATAAAAACTTAAATTATATTATTTTAAAGGAAACAATATATAAACTGGATTAGGAATATATAAATAGTATACATTAAAGATTAACTCTGTAAATAAAACCTGTATGTCAAACAAGCAACAATAATTGAACAGGCTGGCAAAGGACCTGGATTTATTAGCTGCTGAAGTACTCTTCTTGAGCTTAATTCATCACATTCATATTATCTTATCTAGTGGACAACACTCATGATTTACTGGACTCCTGGCCTGATGTTATCAAAGGAAAAGTTGCCAAATCCCATGTAGGGCAGTAGTAAGAGTTTTAGCATTAAACAGCATTATCTGACCTCATGGGACCTAGTTTATTCATACCAATCTTTTGACTAGAGCTGAAGGGCAAAAAAAAAAAACCCAAAAAAAAAAGGTCCTGCAATCAGTAGGCAATTAATTGTTCCTCAAACATTGGTCCAAATCCCATCCTGTAAACACAGGCAGGTTAGTGACCTATGCTTAGGTACTGTAGCAAAAAACTGATGATCATAAATGACTTGGATTATCTAATGGAATTTCATCCAAATAAGAGTTTAAAAATATCATTGCAACATTTCTTTTATTAACTTTTTGGTAATTAAAACCTGGACTTCTTTGCATCAGATTCTACATCTAGTGTATCATTGCCATGGTTGAAATCACTGTCAATAATGAGAAATAACCTTTCTTGGTCCAGGTGCTCTGTATTCCAGATCTGACTTATCTGCCAAACTTCATTGTACAAAGCTGTCACACACACACCAGTCAGCTGAACTGGTATTTAGTTAGAGAGAAAACTACACATCACTCACAAAAATGCTTGCTCTTGCCAATGCCAAGGAACAAAGCTGTACCCCATGCAGTTTTTACACTACAGTTGAAAGTAAAAAATAAAGAAAGAAAAATATTTGATTAATAAAGGAGTTATTTCCTCACATTTCATCAGGCCCTTGCAATTTAAAAGGGAAAGTATTTTGAGGACTGAAAATAAGTCAGAATCTGCAATTTTCTTATTTTGGAACTGTTCTATTTCAAAAAACATGTTCTACTTTTCAGTCATGCATGAAGAGTAATCTAGTTCTTTGTTTCACCACAGTTTTGTCCAAATAAAGGTTTGATTAACAGTCATCTCAGCATGTTAACAGACAAGGTTTAGTAGCTCTAGCTGAGATAGTTTAAAAACTTACCACCCCCAAATGTCTGTCCTATTCCTCTGCTGGAGATCATTGCTGCCAAAGGAGAGTTGGTGGAATATAATGTGTACTTGCACCTCATCCACTTCAGCACAGTCTGGCAGCTTGTCCTTAAAACAACTTTCAGCAGCAGTTTAAGCTAAGCTGCTCAACTTCACCCTGATGTGGCCAAAGCACACGATCACCTTCCATTTTCTGATTCTGATGTGGGAGCAATACATTCCAACAAAAGGGCAGCAGCAAATAGGTTGGGCTGCATTAATATCTTAAACTGCTACAGCTGTTTTCTGAAACAATGCAGAGTAAATAGAATTCAATTTCTAAGGCTTGTTCTTGTAGTTAATTAACAGAAGTTGTGCTGCTAATTTGAAGGTGATCAAGAATCTCATATACTTTTCAGAAGAGCATCTGCAGTTCTGCTAGTCATCGAAGCTCAAAAGTCATGAGCCAAACCCCACATGTTCACACAAATTAAAAAACTGTGTTTGGGACTCCTATTATTTATTTGTATCCACCTATGAGTCGTATTTAAGATCTTCTTAGACTATAACAATCATAAGTGACTCTAAAAACAAGAAATAAGATCTTCAGGCACAAAATCAAGTCCTAGAAATAATTTTAAAGCATATTCTCAATACAAGACAATAAAAAAATACATATAGCATTTGACTGTTGGCATTTTACACAAATTCAGTATTTAATCTTGTATTTTGCTACTGCCTAGATTGAATGAACATATCTGATGTTCTCTGACAATCAGATTCAAGCAAGAACCATCTCAGTTTTCAAAATAAGAAAATCTCACATTACACAAAATACAAAAACTCAAATATATAATCCAGTGTGTAAATAGTGCACATTTGTAAAAACCAAAATCCTTATTTAAATATTAAATCCAAGTCAACACTTGCATACTTTATGGATGAGTCACATTTACTATTGTCTTGTATTTATTAGATTCTTTATGCCATTTATCTAGCATCTGTCTATACACTGAATTTTACAGCCCAGTAGCTATTCAATGCCTAAAAACTAAGAAACACACATCATATAATTGTCCCACAAATTAAGCAAGACACATGCCCATTTTAGAGACAGAAGAGGGAAAAACTCCCACCACCATCACACTGAAGGGACCTGCATCTGTCATACAAGAGTCAATGGTAAAACAGAAACCTACTTATGGCATTGTCCTCTAACACCACCTCCTTCCAGCCAAGAGACCAGCTCCATGCTTTTGGCAAACAGCATCTACACATCACTTCAGTTGGCTTTTCTACAGCAGACAAATGAATTTCTCTAAAGGGAATTTATCTTCCTGAGGATATGAAAGTTCAAGTTTTCACTCTCCTGATTATGTAGAGACTTTCTCTTTTCTATTCTTATGAAGTAATGGGGGTATTTGGTTCCATACAACAATGAGCCTAACAGACATTCCAATACAATTCTCACTGGGGAAACTCTTACCATCTCTTCAAAATAACCCTCTCAAAAGGAGCAAAGGTTTTGCTGATAACAAAGAGCTATTGTTTGTTCAGAGTAGATTGAAAATATGCTCCACTAACAGAAGTTTGCAAATTAAGCATCTCACACTCTTTAGCTACACACATACTGTTGCACCACGTAGTGACTTCTGCTGTACCTGAAAGGCAACAGTGAAGTTTCTCTTCTGTCCAAATTAATTTCCTGGCTTTGTTTCTTCTTTTGTTGTTTTTTTTGTCAGTGGTGGTGGTTCTTCAGAGATATTTTTTTACCTTTTTTATTTGATAATTAGAGCCTGGATTCACATCAATAATAATATATGCCACAGTATTTAATTTATGCAAATTAACTATTTACAGGCTATTGCTAATACAACTTGTGTAATATCAAGTTTGTCTGACCCATATATTGCCTATTCCATTGATCTACTCAATAAAATTAAAAACTAATTACAATACTAAAGTAGAAGGAAGCCTACTTAAATCTGATACCAGTTTGACATAATTATGTACGCTTGAACTGGGGCTATATGGAGCTTCCTACTTTAAAAACAACCTAAAAACAGACCCTTCCTTTAGAATGATACAGTTTTCTGTATAACCCTATCATCAGTCTCCTTTAAATTTAAGATATTTGCACACCTTTCTACAACCTTACACCTGAGTTACAGAACACCACTTACAGCACAGAGAGGTCGAGGACTGATATTCCAGTGCTAGATAAACAACCAAAAAAAATTGAAGAGCTCTATGTGCTCAATTATTTAGAGGCAAATAATCACAAAGCTTAAAGTAATAGATGGATGGTACCTTAATAGTAAAAGAGCATTTAAAAGACACACTTAGTATTTCTCTGCCTATAAATTACAGCTTTTTAAAAGTAATCTGCTTGTTAAGTATGCTCTGTAAGTTTATTTTACAATTTTACTGTTTGCAATACAGTTTTCTAGTTAACCACTTCAACACAGATTGCAAACACTGCTGTGGAAAAGCACTTTCAGAAATTACATATTTATTGTATATTTCAAAAAGAAGGAAACCAAGCTGTACATAAGAAATGCTTTACCATTTATTTTAAATAAACTTATTGGCTTATTTTGTGGTACTTGTTTAACACTGCTATTGAAAAGCAGATTCAGGATATTACACCACTAGAATAGCAACATTTGGGTTCACTAAGTAAATGTAAATAATTGTAATCTCAAATGTCATTACACAGGGTTGCCTCAGCAGTATAATTTTTCTTTTAGAGGTTTCCGAAACTGGGCTGCAGAAAAATTTTTCAGTTTAAACCCATGCATATAATATAATGAATATCTTCTATGCTACCTGTATATGGATACGTATTTAATTTCTAAACTAATCTGAAGTGCTATTTTTAAACAAACATCCCTAGAACTAAAGTTTTTTCTTCATTTTTGAACATGTTTTTTTCTTGTTTCAGAGAGTTGATCATCGTGGCTAAGTAAGGAATTATTATATTTCAGAAAGCTGTTGTGAAATTGAATAATTACCTTCAGAACAATAGATGAAGATTTATTTAAAGAACACATCCACAAGAAAATCACTTTTAATACGAAATAAAATACTAAAAAAATACATGTCTTTGTGGAAAATCACCTGTGATTGTTCCAATTCTGCTTTGTTTAATTTGATGCCGAGTATGTCAGCAGCAATTCTCTGAAAACACAGGAAGACCTATGGAAAAAAAATAAATTTGATTTCAATGATTAAAAACAGACATCCTTGAGGTTCTTTCAAATATATCAAACCATTCCTGAACAGTAAACAATGATATACAAAATTATGACCTGTGCAAAACAGATCTGAAAAAAACCTCATCTGGTACTTTCAATTTTGTTTAAAAATTTGAGAAAATAACTCAACAATGGTACAAGGAATGAACAGTATGCTGGATTGTTAAGCAGCACTTCTACTTTGCCTCCAGAGACCTAAGTTTAAACAAGCTTTTACACAACCCACCTCTCAAATGCTACTCTCAGAGCTATAAAATATGAATAAGCGTATTCACTAATGTTTAGCACAAAAATGTATTACCAGTGTATTGTGAAATAAGAGATGTAGGTTTCTGAAACTGAGAATAACAGAACTGTGCATCAACATCATCAAAATCTCTACTACATATGTCCAAAAAATAGGAGTATGAAAGAGTTCTGAAGAGTCTTACAAAACATACACTGAACAGAAGTATCTAGGAACAAGCAGGATGTTGTACAGCCTGCAGCACCCTGGCAGAGTTAGACTTTGAACATGGTTTAACACGTAATACTGGGTGGCAACGCTGTTTTAAATAATTGCTTTAATTCATCTTAAGACAGTCCACCTATCTCGCTGTTTAGGTAAAACTGAATTTTAAATGTGATTAAAGAGTATGACACGTGCAAGAGGAGCAGCTTAAGTGTGCACTGCTGATGAACACTGTATTGCGAAGCTACAAGTTACATTTTATCTGCAGGGGTGTTAACAAACATCTGAGCTCACCATCTAAATACCTAAAAAACATTGGTTTGCATCATGCAGCTGCCACCCACAAAACAAAAAATTACCTACGTACATGCTCACCATCATTGTCAGTGAAAATTAAGATAAATACTATTTGCACAATCTCTTCCAACACCCGAGATGGAAACCAGAAATAAATTAGTGGCACAACCCATGAAGTGTGGTCACTTCTAAAAAAAATTGCTCTTTGTCTAAACTCCCTGGTGTAGTACTGGTCTGTTCTACCAACATCTACACAACAAGGAAGGGCAGACTGAACAGAGATTCTGAGGCTCAGAGACCGAGGTTAACCCACACCAAGCTCTCAGGTGCTCTGAGCTACACCACCTGCCCTGAGGACACTCTGTGCAAAAAAACATCAAGCACAAGTGCAATGCTTCAGCTATGTGATTTGGTAGACAGTAACATAGTTAGTAATAATAAATCTTCCATGACATATTTTTGCCCTTGAGATGACTTTCAGAATTTTCTAAAATCATCTTTGTCAAACAAGTCTGTTGAAAAGATCTGATGTAAACAAAACAAATAATTTAACTGAGTAAGACTCCTCTAGTCTATATTCACAGTAGCAATGGCTGCCTCTTCTTAAATCACTGTCTAGGATAAACACTCCATCTTCTAAAAGATCAGTGTGCAGCAGCAGTGAAAGGGATAATTCAAATTTCTCTTGAATCTAAAAAAGAGCTATTGAAACTACTTCTTTTGTTAGTAGATATTTAGGCAGAGATTTCCTGTTAATGTTTTCTAGGCATGTCCAGATTTACTTTTGTTTTTAAACAGTAAGCTGTGAAAAGGTGAAAAGTACATCAGTATATCTAGTGAAATACTGATGTAATAAATGACTTAATAAAAAAGCTGAAATAAAGAGTCTGTCATAATTAGCAATTATAAATTTATCAATTATAAAAATGAACTGATTTTAGTGGTCTCCTTGAGAGAAGAATACATTTTATCAGATGCATATTTTATTAAGTGTAGCAGTATGCTTTTTTCTTCTGTTTCTAGCATTAAAAGCCTGTATTTTCACACTTGCAACAAAAAAATATGCCAAAGATTTAACACAAACTATAAAGAGACTCAGGACTCACTGCATTTGTAACAGCAGTATTGTTACACTTTACCAAAAAACTATTATCTTACAAAATTAGGCAGTTCACTGCACAAGATTCATCAAAGACCTTCATCCATTTGTGGACTATACTTCCATGTACTTGACCATGGTCTTACTGTTCAAGAATATTAAAATAAATTAAACTTTCTTGTCAACAGTAATATTAAGGAGACAGATACAAGATTGTTTTATGGGAATGACAAACTCATTAGGCATGAGACAGAAATCAAGCAAAACAATACGATTTAATTTGACTGATAGTGTCATCTGAAAAAGAAAGTTTTCTTTCATACACTTCCAACTAAAACAAATAACCCAGTTAGCTCAGAGTCAAAAGATTGTTCAAAAATGCACTCTGCAAAGCATCTGGTACAAATGCCAGAATGTTCAAATTTCAATGGAGCTGCTAAGGGAATGTCTCTCATGGCTCAGGACTCATATTAAAATCTTTCATTGCACCAGGGTCTTGTCACATTATTTACCAGTTGTTGGAAAATTCTATATTGATTGTCTATAGATGGGACTCCACCTGGAATGAAGAAATATACTTAACTACAGGCTAACAGCAAACAGAGATTTAGCTGGTCTCAGTTTTCATGCTGATGTATAAGCCAGGCCTTTTCCATTAAAATCTGCATCTCAAACTGAAAATCAGATGAGAAACCACTGTAATTTAATAAGAATAATACACAATAATATAAACATCTACTTGCCATGCAACTAAGGGAGTCGAAAAAGGGCCTGCAGCACTCAGTTCTCATCAGCTGGTTATGTGAAGTATAATAAAACTGCAGCATCTCAAAAAAAAAAAAAAACAACAGACATCTACAAGTTTGGAGTTTTCTCTTACTTACAGAATCTCCTGTCTTGGCTGACACAAAATGGCTACTGAAGTTGTTTTCCTGACAAAATCGCTGGTGCTTGTCGGCTTTCACTGTGCGAATATGCTCCAAGTCAACTATAAATAAGTTGAAGAAATGAAAAATTATTACACACATTTAGTTACTCACCTTAGAAATTATTCATTGGAAACGTATCAGATATAATACCTTCCTTTACAGGTATATGCAAATGCAAGTTTCTTTCTCTATATAATAATTTGGTAAAATAAAAGCAATGAATTATATCAGACTAATTTTATTTGCAAAACTAAAATGAAACAACAATTAAAATTTTATGGCCAAATGCAACAAATTCATATCTCAAAGTACACATTTATTTCTAGATACAGTCATATAGTTTATAATAACTCTGCTGCAAGCTACATACTAAAACAAGTCAGAACTAATATTTCATACTCTGCTTGCAACCAAGATGTATATTGGGGATTCCAGTGTAACCTGAATTACAAAATAAATTCACCAAGCATATCTGAATCGACATATTTTTGCAAAGTAAAAATGCAAATAAGTTATAAAGAATTTTATTGCAGAACATTGCAAAGCAAAAACATTCACTATAATAAAAAAATTGACTGAGTAAAAGCAATGATGCTTAGTTACTCACATACGAGGCTTTCAATTTCACAAAGGTGTGGTTCAGAAAATTTCAAAAAGTAAAATGCACCTTTCAAGACACACACATATTTTCATTTTTATCATTTTACAACCAGTGGAAGCAGAGTAAAGCTTTCAAATAGTATTTTATGCTGAAAAGCCCTGTTGCTTCCAAACTCTCACAGAACTCAAGTCTTGTGCAGGTTTTATTGTGCACATTCTAGTTTCTCCAATCTGATCCTAAGGTAATTGGAAACTATATTGAACAGTTTCTCTTTTTTTTATTGCATTACGGTTCCTATAAGGGTGTTGACTCAATGTAGTCAAATTATAAGGCAAATATATTCAGAAGGATTTAAGGACAAGCAGGCTCTTTGAGTTAATACAGGAAAAAAAAACTTCAACTGATTTCCTGAGGAAGGGACCCAACTGACTTGTAAAAACTTGTAAATTTGCAAATCTAGTAAGCCTGTATAATAGTGTTATTTGATTATCAGCTGAAAAAATGCTCTCCTACTACATAAAAGGTTTTATTTTTAAATGATATTGGAGGTCTTTAATTTGTAGGCTCTGGAGATTTTCTCTTGGAGATTTTTAGCCTAACAGAGGATTCCTACACCCCATTTATACTGCTTACCTTGGTTAACGTGGAGTTTTTGACACGTATTACTGTTCCTTGCACATCAGTAAGGCCTTGTTTGTAAGAACAGGCCTAAAATCATCCAGTTACCACAGACTTTAATTTGTGAAGGACTAAAATACTAAGCTATTAACACTAATGTTTCTAGTATAGTTTTTCCATATTACTAAATGTCCACTATATAATAAAGTTTCATTAAAAAAAGGGAACAACAAATACATTTCCTAAAATAAAGCCTGAAGTCAATAACAATTTTGTTAAAAACTCATGCATTTAATTTTTTTCTCTGAAAAATAACTACCAAGATAAAAGACTCTTTTGAAATGCCTTTAAGAATAAAATACAATATAATACAGAATAAAATACACTAAAACATTTCATTATTAACAATTATCTTTATGTTTCACATATTAGTTTTAAGTGCAGCTTGATAAGAAAAAAAAAAGAGTAAGATTACTCTTTTGGGAAAAATAAAAAATTTATTTTCTTTATTTTAATTTCACGAACTTTTAAAGAAACTTTAACCCCACCTCCAGATTTCACTCATTATATTTCTCTGATTATATCTGAACTCAAAAAACCTACACACAATTACAATACAACTAAATAAACAGCATTTTACAATTACACAATTACAATACAACTAAATAGACAGCATTTACACCACATTCCTTTAAAATACCACAACATGCTTACATAAATGCATAAAAACAAGTTCACTAGTTACAATCTCTCTCAAACTCTCTTTCCCAGGAAGGAAAGAATAGAGAGTATACAAAGAAAATAACAGGCTAAAAGGTTGATGAATTTCCAGGAAAAAATGCCACAGCCATATTGCAAATCACCCTCAAATGTCTCTTCTTTTCTATGAAGAAATATCTATAATAATATATAGTCAGTAGAGTATATAGTTTACTACAGAAGAGAACTTAAAGCACACAGGATCATAGAAACAGACTGAAAGTGAAAAATCAAGGTGTAATTATGTTTTAGAACTTTGTGTGCTTCTCAGTTCTTCTCCCCAGTCACAAATACTTCACTTTCTGCCTCCTGAATTTCGGGCTGCCTGCTCTGAAAAGTGCAGGTACTATCATGCAGGGAACTGCCAGGTGAAAGTCCATTTATGCATTCAGAGCCCACAGAAAATGCCAGGTGAAAAACTGCACATTTTTAGCACAAGAAGAGTTTCAAGTGTTAATAAATATTCAACTACCCAAAACTGCAGTTTGAAGTCAATGAAGAGCAATGATCCTAAGTCCAATTCCTTTGCATTGCCCACAGGCTAAGGGCATAATCAAAGAGCTACTGAAAATCAGCTAAAGACAGTGAACAGTTACCCTCCAGTCCTTTTTCTTTAACATCTGACATTGGTCAGCTCAACAGGCAGAATTCTTCGCACACCAGGAGATAAGTCTTGTCCAGCTTTTATTTAGACATCACAGTAAAAAGACTTTAGAGAGAGCTTTGGAGGAGAAAAGTGATTTTTCTGAAAAAGATGTTTATAAAGAATGCAGGGACTTTATAGACAGGAAACTAACAGCTGGCCAATGTGGGCTCATATGATGAGCCAATTAACAGCAGGAATAGGTATCTTGGGATGAAGAATGACACCAGAATGCACTTAAGCCATGAAAAGTCTAACAGCAAAGACAAATAAGTTTTGGATAGAAAGAAAGCGAATAAGTTACATAAATACATTTTGATTTTATAAACCAGGAAAATGATCTTGCAGAATATTCTAAATGACTAGATAACATAGCAATGGCCAAGAAAAAGGAATTATTGAAATTTAGATACAAAATGAGAACATTTTAATTCTGGTAATGGCTATGCTAGGCCATATCTAACAAAGGTCTCAAAGAAGGAATCTGCAAGATTTGGCCACACATCAAACACAAACATTTAGAGAAAGGCCCAAAGTGAAGTTTACGTGCCAGATGGTACAGTCATACTCTTCATCTTTAGGGAATGAGAAAGAGGGTAACAGCAGGGCAAATTTAATAGCTTCATTTTTACCAAATAGAATATAAACTGATGGCTAGAGATTCACAATGGGATGAATAAATGAGACAAAAGACACAGGTTTGAAAAGTAGAGATTTAACTTTATGCAAACAGTGACACTCCACAGCACACAAATGTAACAAACCAGTATTTTTGGTCAAGGGCTTGAATAATACAAACTCTCCTATCTGCATTAAAGTATGTTTTCTGATCATGAAAAGCTAAGGCAAGCCCAAGATGTGTAAATGTTGGAGAAGGCAACGGGGGTATTTCTTTGATCTATCATTTCAAAAATTCTAAATGTCTTAAAAATGGGATCAACAGGCAGAAAGGGCAGTTAAAAGTATACATTATGAAAGCAATAGTTAAAATGTCAAAGGAGTGCATAGCATTCTGCCTAGAATGGAACTACTTAATATATTTGTATTAAATGGAATATTTACATGAAAACTTGTATCAAGAGAAGCAGAGGGACATCATGAGCAATGGGGGAAAGAGAGGGAGATAGCATTGTTCCCCTGACTAGCCTGATGAGGACAGAAAAAGGGGGCTCATCAGCTTCCAAAGTATATTCAAAGTCCCTTTCAAAGAAAAGGCATCCACAATATAAGCTGTTGCAGTTTTGCTCATTTTTATGCCTGAAATACACTCTAAAAGCCTTCAGTGACAACTACAAAAAATGCATGACTGCCAGATATTCTCCAAAATTTATCTCCATTGCCTTGCTTATCCTCTACAAAGTCCATTTTTTTGATTCTCTAAAATAAGAGTAAACATTCATCTTGAAGCTTTTCTAGTATGAAGAGTTATTTCAATTACACTAGCAAGATAAACTGCTGTTACATAACAGGTTGATACACATGTGTATATACAGGTATCTCATAAAGACACCAGAACTTCAAAAACACATTAGAAACTTTGGGAATTCAGATGCAGCTCTCAGCAAGGCAAACAGATCCAACAGAAAATCTCCCCTTAAAGACTGAGCAAGCATAGATCAACATCTCCTGCTGCAAAAGTAGGTAAGACTTACTAAAATGCTTGCTTCTCATGAATTCCATGGAGTTCCATTTTGATTTATAGGTGAGATTAAACAGAGATCTACTGAGGTGAAAAGAGAAAACACAATCTGGAGGAAAGTATTGAACTCCCACAGAAATCCCAATGATACTCCCTCTAAGGCATTCCTGAAGACTTCTTGGAAGAAAACCAACTCTATCCCAGCCAAAACCAGCAGAGAAGGAAAAAAAAAAGCCAGCCAAACAAAAAAAAAACAAACAAACCCACCTGTAAGAAGAACACTGCAAGTGACATTTCAAAGAAGGACAAAAAAGTAAGTTTCAGTTATAACCAGAGAGACTTGATTAGGTTATATCTTCAGGTGATCTATAAAAGGATTTTCAATAACTACCCTTCAAATTGCTATTATACATCAATTATTTGCAGTGAAAATCTCACAGACAATGGCAAATCAAAATGGAAAAGGAAACCATACTTTAAAATACTGCAAGGCAAGATATCTATCCTATGATTAAAAAATTCTGAGGAAACACTTGATACAGCATAAATTCTTCTTCAAAGTCAAAAGTCTATATGAATTTACTTGAGAAATTAAGTAACTGAAATTTTAGTTTATTGGGCTGTGGCAAGGGAATGGGAAAACCTTAAAAAGTACTAGATAAAACACAAATGAGTGCTTTACAATCTACCCACACCCAGCCATTCAACAGCAATTCCATCTTGATTGAATAGTTCTGCTGCTTTTGGCTCTGAAACCACTAGTGGTAAATAAATTAATGTCAAAATTGTTTCTCTTCCA